GCGGGCGGGCGGCTAGCGAGGACAAAGGCGCACACAGGAGCTGCGGGGACGAGCGGCGGGCTCGGAGGCCACGGTGGCGCCCACACGACTCCCTCGGGGATGCGGCGGCAGAGGTTAACGACAGCCTTCCCCGCCTCCCAGGATCGGCTCGCAACCGCCACCGGGCCCCGCCCCTCGGCGTGCAAGGCGCCGCAGCCAGCAGGTCCCATTGGGCTGCGTCCACGCCGCTCACACGCTGATCCCGCCTCCCCGCGCCGTCCCGCCCCCAGCACACGCAGGCGCTGGACTGCTGGCGACGAAGACGTGGCAGTGGCTAAAGGCCGCATCCGCCTGAGGTTCCTGGAGCCGCCCGCCCCAGGGCTAGCAGCAGGAAGAACCGGGCCGTGGGGCAGGAAGAAACTCGGCGCTGGCAGGGAAAGACGGAAAAAGGAGGGTGGAATTGTTAGCAAAGCAAATAGCTCGGGGCGCGCGCCCAGAGCAGCCCCAGCCCCCAAGCTCCTGCACCGCACGAAGCGGGGAAAGAAAAGGAGGAAAGCAGAAGGCCCGAAAAGGGGATCCTGGGGGGCAAATAGTCAGAGTGTAAAGAGGACATAAGAATGAGGAAAAATGCAAAGAATTGGGTGAGATGGGGGGAAGAGATGTACCAAAGTTCTTGACTGCAAAACACCATTTGGGCTCGGCCAGTCTTTGTGGTGATAGGCAATTCAATTCACAACTTAAGTTCTATGTAATATACTCGCCCTCTAAAAGCCCTCCGCATCCCCATCCCCATCCACTGCCTCCCTAACCCCAGTGTATTTTGGAGAGGGAGGGGAGGGATGTGAGGTTCAACCATCCAACACTGAGCCCGGGCCTCTACTTGCCCCGCCTGTGATGGCCCTCCGGAGAACTAGGAATTGTCTAACTTCGACAGCCTTGCATTTGACACATGAACGATTAATTCTATGAATTAATGCGACTTTCCTGCCAAGAGAGACTTGATTAGAGAGGGATGATGTTTCTGAGAATGTATTACCTGGGTGTTTGCTTTAGGAAGATTTAAATGATATCTTTAGTCAAATGTAGATGGTTATTAGAACTCTACTAATGGCTCTAAACTAGAATCACATAAAAAACTTACATGACACACAGAAGTCCTGGAGTTCTGTCTGCTGTTTAAGTGTCTGGTTTTACCTCACCCTAGTGCTCTCTTCCTGTCCCCACTTCCAGCCCTATACACTCTAACAAAACTGAACAGGTGGTTCCCCAACTGGGCAACATTCTCAAATCTTCTGCACATTTTGGTCACTCCGAATAGAATCCCCATCCCACCTCTGTTTAAAAACTGTCTTTCTGGGAAAGCCTGTTTTGTTTCTCCTATACAAACTTGGAGACATGCATTAACTACTCACGTTTTGAGCTGCCCCTTTAAAGCAATATACTCCAATATTTTGTGATTTTTTTTATATATTTCACCACTAGGCTATAAGTTACTTGAAGCTAAAACAAGTCTTTGCATACCCAACACTTAGTATAGACCCTACCACAAAGTAAGAGATCAGAAATGTTTTTGAGTGAGTGAAGAAAGCCATCTCTTTTTAGCAGAACTAACCTATGGCTGGTTATATGATCAAGCGTGCAAAGGGCTTTCAGTTTTTCTTAAGAGGAAAATGCCTTTTTATCATTTGCCTTTTTTTTTTTTTTTTTTTTTTAAAGGATGACCA